CAATATTGCACAACCGAAATAGTGCGGGCCCCACGACCTCTCGACGCACCATTTTCTCCGACTCAAATATGAAGTGCGTTACAGGGGGGGGTCCGCGATATAAGAGCACTTTGAATAAGACCGACCTCGCAGTAAGAGCACCGTTTTCGCTTGGCACGGTATCATAACTTCAAGCCCCATCAGACAATGCAATTCCAATCAAACAGGCCTTTTCTCGGCTGGTAGTTCAAACGCATCTTAGAAGTCCCGCTCACAGTCCGCCTGTTCCATTTCTCCGCGGCGGTAGAGGAGGTTAGTGACGAAACAAACATATATTGGGGAAGAACGCGCCACTATACCGACATCAGTTGGTCTGAATACACTATTGCTACCGCTAGAAACAATTGCTCATGATTGCAATATAACAGAAGTAGGGATGTTGTTGCGGAGAGTGAGAAGCGTGTTCGCGTGCTTACGAGGGAGGGCTTCCGTGCACAGGTCCAGGCAACTGGTTATTGGTGAGGCGTTACAGCGTTCTAAGGAGCAAAATGGGCATCCTGTGCGAGATTCTTGAATAGTAGCAACCTCGGATTAAGACCAGTATGAAGGGTTGGCACGGGGTGCTCTTATATCGTGGTCCCTACTGTACTATTATCGAATCTCAAAACCATCGGTTACACGTGCATTCCATGTAGCAGTTACTGCCTTTTTCCAGCTCACTCGTGAGGTATGCGCTAATGCCGTGAACATCGAACAAGTCCTGACACGAGAAAGGAACCAATCCTGTGAGAGCACTTGGCGAACTGGAATGAAGGACATCACCGCTCTGCGCATGCCATGGGTGCGCTTGCTGTGTAGCCTTCTGTATAGCTGTCCGTATTGCTTTCTGTGCAGCTTCCCAAACAGCTGCACCTCCCTACGATCGCTGATTCGGCTCCTCTTCACGCTGCGTATCATGGATACATGCTCTTTGCCGAACTGCCTCACTACTTTTGCTACGACTGCCCCGCCACGACATTAGTCGAAACGCACGCAGCCCTGACGGAATCGCATGCTGTCCTCAACTTTTTATGCATCCCAACTGCGTTTACCCTCACGCACTCTCGACGCGAGCAAGACCTATGCACGGTCAGTCACCAGAGGCTCTCACAGGCTTGTCGAATGCCTTTGGCTATGTGGAAAACGTGGGGTCTTAGTCCCCGTTTTATTGCGGCGAAATACGTGATGTTTTACATCACAGCGTAAAAGGTCGGTTCGGTTGCATTTGTGCGACCCCGCGTTGCATGAAGTTGTAGACTGTCATAGACTGGACTGACGGCAGTAGCAGTAGCAGCGGAATGCAGCGTAACGTTCGGCTCGTTGGGGGCGTATATGCAATGAAAACGGTTTACGTCAAGCAACGTCGTCATGCGTAGAAATACGCACGAACACGCGTGGATTATGGGGGCGATGGTCCAAACTAATAAAGATCCGGTACGTTCAGTGCCAGGATGCAAAGCATTACTTGATCACAGGCCAAAGCGAAGAGTGTGCCCCGGACTTACAGCACTGTAGATACCGTATGTAGTACGTACATACTATGTACGGAGCACGTCATCGTATTGGGGAATGGGGGGTTCTTGCAAGTGGGGGATGAGGGAAGGCGGGTTGGCGAGAGATGGGATCCATACGATGTGCATCTGGATGGGGTATAAATGAGTACTGCAATACGTGGTTGAGCGGGATCAGGATGGTTGAGCGTCTCAAGACCAGGCCTGGGATTTGAAACAGCACGTGTTTCGAATAGCGACTACTGACTCCGCTCTAGCGGAGCCGGGAGATGGGGCGAGGGGGGGGGGGGGGGGGGGGGGGTGTTTTTTTTGGGAAAAAAAAAAGAAGAGGAGGGGGGGGGGGCCCCTGGGAAAGGCCCCGAAAAAC